CCTGCCTGTCAATAACCCGCTTGCTCACGTCCTCCCGTCGCTCCACACCACATCTCACCCAGTAGCTGCTCGCCACTCCGTGCCGCCCCTACGCTCCGCCCTCTCCCAGTGAGTGCCTGCCTGTCAATAACCCGCTTGCTCACGTCCTCCCGTCGCTCCACACCACATCTCACCCAGTAGCTGCTCGCCACTCCGTGCCGCCCCTACGCTCCGCCCTCTCCCAGTGAGTGCCTGCCTGTCAATAACCCGCTTGCTCACGTCCTCCCGTCGCTCCACACCACATCTCACCCAGTAGCTGCTCGCCACTCCGTGCCGCCCCTACGCTCCGCCCTCTCCCAGTGAGTGCCTGCCTGTCAATAACCCGCTTGCTCACGTCCTCCCGTCGCTCCACACCACATCTCACCCAGTAGCTGCTCGCCACTCCGTGCCGCCCCTACGCTCCGCCCTCTCCCAGTGAGTGCCTGCCTGTCAATAACCCGCTTGCTCACGTCCTCCCGTCGCTCCACACCACATCTCACCCAGTAGCTGCTCGCCACTCCGTGCCGCCCCTACGCTCCGCCCTCTCCCAGTGAGTGCCTGCCTGTCAATAACCCGCTTGCTCACGTCCTCCCGTCGCTCCACACCACATCTCACCCAGTAGCTGCTCGCCACTCCGTGCCGCCCCTACGCTCCGCCCTCTCCCAGTGAGTGCCTGCCTGTCAATAACCCGCTTGCTCACGTCCTCCCGTCGCTCCACACCACATCTCACCCAGTAGCTGCTCGCCACTCCGTGCCGCCCCTACGCTCCGCCCTCTCCCAGTGAGTGCCTGCCTGTCAATAACCCGCTTGCTCACGTCCTCCCGTCGCTCCACACCACATCTCACCCAGTAGCTGCTCGCCACTCCGTGCCGCCCCTACGCTCCGCCCTCTCCCAGTGAGTGCCTGCCTGTCAATAACCCGCTTGCTCACGTCCTCCCGTCGCTCCACACCACATCTCACCCAGTAGCTGCTCGCCACTCCGTGCCGCCCCTACGCTCCGCCCTCTCCCAGTGAGTGCCTGCCTGTCAATAACCCGCTTGCTCACGTCCTCCCGTCGCTCCACACCACATCTCACCCAGTAGCTGCTCGCCACTCCGTGCCGCCCCTACGCTCCGCCCTCTCCCAGTGAGTGCCTGCCTGTCAATAACCCGCTTGCTCACGTCCTCCCGTCGCTCCACACCACATCTCACCCAGTAGCTGCTCGCCACTCCGTGCCGCCCCTACGCTCCGCCCTCTCCCAGTGAGTGCCTGCCTGTCAATAACCCGCTTGCTCACGTCCTCCCGTCGCTCCACACCACATCTCACCCAGTAGCTGCTCGCCACTCCGTGCCGCCCCTACGCTCCGCCCTCTCCCAGTGAGTGCCTGCCTGTCAATAACCCGCTTGCTCACGTCCTCCCGTCGCTCCACACCACATCTCACCCAGTAGCTGCTCGCCACTCCGTGCCGCCCCTACGCTCCGCCCTCTCCCAGTGAGTGCCTGCCTGTCAATAACCCGCTTGCTCACGTCCTCCCGTCGCTCCACACCACATCTCACCCAGTAGCTGCTCGCCACTCCGTGCCGCCCCTACGCTCCGCCCTCTCCCAGTGAGTGCCTGCCTGTCAATAACCCGCTTGCTCACGTCCTCCCGTCGCTCCACACCACATCTCACCCAGTAGCTGCTCGCCACTCCGTGCCGCCCCTACGCTCCGCCCTCTCCCAGTGAGTGCCTGCCTGTCAATAACCCGCTTGCTCACGTCCTCCCGTCGCTCCACACCACATCTCACCCAGTAGCTGCTCGCCACTCCGTGCCGCCCCTACGCTCCGCCCTCTCCCAGTGAGTGCCTGCCTGTCAATAACCCGCTTGCTCACGTCCTCCCGTCGCTCCACACCACATCTCACCCAGTAGCTGCTCGCCACTCCGTGCCGCCCCTACGCTCCGCCCTCTCCCAGTGAGTGCCTGCCTGTCAATAACCCGCTTGCTCACGTCCTCCCGTCGCTCCACACCACATCTCACCCAGTAGCTGCTCGCCACTCCGTGCCGCCCCTACGCTCCGCCCTCTCCCAGTGAGTGCCTGCCTGTCAATAACCCGCTTGCTCACGTCCTCCCGTCGCTCCACACCACATCTCACCCAGTAGCTGCTCGCCACTCCGTGCCGCCCCTACGCTCCGCCCTCTCCCAGTGAGTGCCTGCCTGTCAATAACCCGCTTGCTCACGTCCTCCTGTCGCTCCACACCACATCTCACCCAGTAGCTGCTCGCCACTCCGTGCCGCCCCTACGCTCCGCCCTCTCCCAGTAAGTGCGCCTGCCCTCTCGGCCCCTCATCTCATCCTCGCTTCTCCCCGAACTGATTGCCCTTCACCTTATTCCGCCTGTGCGTCCATCCCATCCCATCCCATCCCATCCCATCCCACTGCACTCCACCGCAGGTACGCCCCATCAAGTGGCATAGAGGCGGACAGCTCGCACCGCCTGGCGCTGGCAGCGAGGGACCTCTTTGGGGAGCTGGAGAAGTCACGCCGCCCCGTCACTCCCCTGCGCTTCCTCATGGTGCCCCCTTTGTGCCAACTCCTCCTTCTTTCTCCATACCCCGCTCTGCTGCACTTCTTATGGTGATTGTTTCTCTTCCTCTCGCTCATCCTCCCCCACTCTCCTTCCCCGCTCTCCTCCCCATCTTCCATTTCTTTCTCCCTCCCTCACTCATTTCTCCGTTCCCCACTCCCCTCTCCTCAGCCTCACGTGTTCTTTTGATGCGCCCACACAACCTCCCTCCCTCCTCATTCCCTCACACACCTTCCGCGTGCTACCATCCCCCTCTTCTGCCATGCCTGTCCTCTATTGCCCATGGCATGACACCCCCTACTTCTCCTCTGCCACGTCCTCTATTGCCCATGGCATGACACCCCCTACTTCTCCTCTGCCACGTCCTCTATTGCCCATGGCATGACACCCCCTACTTCTCCTCTGCCACGTCCTCTATTGCCCATGGCATGACACCCCCTACTTCTCCTCTGCCACGTCCTCTATTGCCCATGGCATGACACCCCCTACTTCTCCTCTGCCACGTCCTCTATTGCCCATGGCATGACACCCCCTACTTCTCCTCTGCCACGTCCTCTATTGCCCATGGCATGACACCCCCTACTTCTCCTCTGCCACGTCCTCTATTGCCCATGGCATGACACCCCCTACTTCTCCTCTGCCACGTCCTCTATTGCCCATGGCATGACACCCCCTACTTCTCCTCTGCCACGTCCTCTATTGCCCATGGCATGACACCCCCTACTTCTCCTCTGCCACGTCCTCTATTGCCCATGGCATGACACCCCCTACTTCTCCTCTGCCACGTCCTCTATTGCCCATGGCATGACACCCCCTACTTCTCCTCTGCCACGTCCTCTATTGCCCATGGCATGACACCCCCTACTTCTCCTCTGCCACGTCCTCTATTGCCCATGGCATGACACCCCCTACTTCTCCTCTGCCACGTCCTCTATTGCCCATGGCATGACACCCCCTACTTCTCCTCTGCCACGTCCTCTATTGCCCATGGCATGACACCCCCTACTTCTCCTCTGCCACGTCCTCTATTGCCCATGGCATGACACCCCCTACTTCTCCTCTGCCACGTCCTCTATTGCCCATGGCATGACACCCCCTACTTCTCCTCTGCCACGTCCTCTATTGCCCATGCCATCCATCCATGCCCTGTCCATTTACATCTATCTTCGTTTCTTTTCATCGCCTTCACTCCCATATATAAGAATGCTCTTCTTGCCCACTCTCTTTTATAGCATCCCCCTTCTCTCCTCCTTCACATCCTTCCTCTTTGCTCGCCCTCACTTATATCGCCTACATACTCATGCCAGGATCCTCTCTTCTTATCTCTTCTCTCAACCCCTCCTCTGCTTTCTCACCCCTCCCTCTCTACCCCCTTGTCGCGTGCAGCTGCTACGGCAGAGATTCCCGCAGTTTGCCCAGCAGGGGGAGCATGGCGCGTACATGCAGCAGGTGAGGTGACATGGGAGCATGGGACAAGCATGCATGCAGCAGCATCACATGCACTGGCAACACATGCACTGGCATCACATGCACTGGCAACACATGCACCGGCGTCACATGCAGCATGTGGTAAGGTGACATGGGAGCATGGGACATGTATGCACGCTGGCCCCTCTTACTCCTGCCTGCTTGCCTTGTTCACCTGCTCGTCTATTGGTCTCGAACCTCCCCGTCACTCCCCATTACTTCCCATCACTCAGTCACCCCCCATTACTCCCCATCACCCCTCATCACCCCCCATCACCCCCCATCACTCCCCATCACTCCCCATCACTTGTCGTCACCCCTCTCCCACTTTATCACTTGCAGGATGCGGAGGAGTGTTGGACGCAGCTGCTCTTCTCACTCTCCCAGCGCCTCCGCAGTGCCAGGCAGCCGTGCGTGCCGCCCCTCCCCCCCGCCTCCCTCTTCTGGCTTCCCCGTCCCTCTGCTGCCTGCTACCGTTCTCTTCTCCTTTCAATCGCACTCTGTGGCTTTCCACCGGCCTCTCCCTTCCACCGCTCTCTGCCATTTTCCACCCAGCTCTCCATGATAGCCTTTTCTGCAGTTCGCTTGCTTGCTGTGCCTGTTCTGTTATCATTATTATTATTCCTTAAGAAACCCCTCCCCTCCTTGGCCGTGCCGCCATATCCGTTCCGTGTCCTTCCACTACTCACGCTGACTGTTCGTTGCCTCTGCCTTATCATCTCCCTGCCACGTCAGCTCGCAAGCTGAGGTGGACAACATATTCGGGATTGATCTAGTCAGCAAGTGAGTCCTCCTGCCTCATTCTATCTCATACATCATCCCATGAGGGTCACTGCATACTCATGCTTGCTCCTCATATGCCAACCGTCCTTGTGTCTCCTTATTCTGTCTCTGTGATATGCTGCCCTCGTGCTCACCACTCCCTGTGCTGCTGGTGAGGGTCACGACATGTTCTCACCTATTCCCCCCCTCTCCTTGTGTGTGCCACTCCCTGCATGGCATGCTGCCACGTGTCACCACCTCTTCCTGTGTGGCACACAGGGTGCGGTGTGCGGAGGGAGGGGAGGGCGCGGAGGGCAACGGGGAGGAGAGCGAGGAGAAGGAAACGGCATTCATGCTGAAATGCCACATCAGCAGCGACGTTAACCTGCTGCATGAAGGCATCAAGAGGGTGCGTACTGCCACTCCCCCACTCCCTCCCTTCACCCCACCACCTGAGGTTCAGACATGTCTCAGTGAGCTGCGTGCGTGCAGTAGGCTTAAAGCAAAGGAAAAACAGCGGTAAAAATCCGCTCTGTGTAAAACTAAGTGCTCAGAACGATCTCAGAACCAAATTCTTAGCAGAAGAGTAAATCAGGGAGACATGTCTGAACCTCGCATACTGCCACTCCCCCACTCCCTCCCTTCACCCCACCACCTCTGCATCACATCTGCAGCAATGTTAACCTGGTGTATGTCCGAGAGAATAACGAGGGTGGGGTGAAGGCGTCAAGAAGGAACCACCTCCCCTGCACCCTACCTCCCTCGAGGGCTGGGTTTTGTTAAGATTTCTCTGAGTTTTTCTTTAAGAATTCCAAAACCATCCCTGAGAAATAAAAAAATTATCTCTGAGAGTTCCAAAAAAAAACTCTCATAAGTCTAAAAAAGTCCTGTATGAGAGATTAAAGAGGGTGGGATGAAGGCATCAAGAAGGAGCCACCTTCCCTGCACCCTACCTCCCTCCAGGGCTGGAGGACCAAGCTGGATAATGCATCGGCGTTTGCCTCGCTCAATGATCTAATCACCTGCTATAATTTTCATCCACATCCCATCTCAATGGGCTTAACCATTGTGCTCCTAATCTTTCTACCTCCCCTCCACCAGGGTCTGAGGACCGAGCTCGAGAAGGTATCGGCGTCGTTTGGGCGCTCTGCTGTCTTCACAAAGGAGTCCCTCATTGCCCGCCTCCCCCAGTGAGTGCCTCATTGCCCGCCTCCCCCAGTGAGTGCCTCATTGCCCGCCTCCCCCAGTGAGTGCCTCATTGCCCGCCTCCCCCAGTGAGTGCCTCATTGCCCGCCTCCCCCAGTGAGTGCCTCATTGCCCGCCTCCCCCAGTGAGTGCCTCATTGCCCGCCTCCCCCAGTGAGTGCCTCATTGCCCGCCTCCCCCAGTGAGTGCCTCATTGCCCGCCTCCCCCAGTGAGTGCCTCATTGCCCGCCTCCCCCAGTGAGTGCCTCATTGCCCGCCTCCCCCAGTGAGTGCCTCATTGCCCGCCTCCCCCAGTGAGTGCCTCATTGCCCGCCTCCCCCAGTGAGTGCCTCATTGCCCGCCTCCCCCAGTGAGTGCCTCATTGCCCGCCTCCCCCAGTGAGTGCCTCATTGCCCGCCTCCCCCAGTGAGTGCCTCATTGCCCGCCTCCCCCAGTGAGTGCCTCATTGCCCGCCTCCCCCAGTGAGTGCCTCATTGCCCGCCTCCCCCAGTGAGTGCCTCATTGCCCGCCTCCCCCAGTGAGTGCCTCATTGCCCGCCTCCCCCAGTGAGTGCCTCATTGCCCGCCTCCCCCAGTGAGTGCCTCATTGCCCGCCTCCCCCAGTGAGTGCCTCATTGCCCGCCTCCCCCAGTGAGTGCCTCATTGCCCGCCTCCCCCAGTGAGTGCCTCATTGCCCGCCTCCCCCAGTGAGTGCCTCATTGCCCGCCTCCCCCAGTGAGTGCCTCATTGCCCGCCTCCCCCAGTGAGTGCCTCATTGCCCGCCTCCCCCAGTGAGTGCCTCATTGCCCGCCTCCCCCAGTGAGTGCCTCATTGCCCGCCTCCCCCAGTGAGTGCCTCATTGCCCGCCTCCCCCAGTGAGTGCCTCATTGCCCGCCTCCCCCAGTGAGTGCCTCATTGCCCGCCTCCCCCAGTGAGTGCCTCATTGCCCGCCTCCCCCAGTGAGTGCCTCATTGCCCGCCTCCCCCAGTGAGTGCCTCATTGCCCGCCTCCCCCAGTGAGTGCCTCATTGCCCGCCTCCCCCAGTGAGTGCCTCATTGCCCGCCTCCCCCAGTGAGTGCCTCATTGCCCGCCTCCCCCAGTGAGTGCCTCATTGCCCGCCTCCCCCAGTGAGTGCCTCATTGCCCGCCTCCCCCAGTGAGTGCCTCATTGCCCGCCTCCCCCAGTGAGTGCCTCATTGCCCGCCTCCCCCAGTGAGTGCCTCATTGCCCGCCTCCCCCAGTGAGTGCCTCATTGCCCGCCTCCCCCAGTGAGTGCCTCATTGCCCGCCTCCCCCAGTGAGTGCCTCATTGCCCGCCTCCCCCAGTGAGTGCCTCATTGCCCGCCTCCCCCAGTGAGTGCCTCATTGCCCGCCTCCCCCAGTGAGTGCCTCATTGCCCGCCTCCCCCAGTGAGTGCCTCATTGCCCGCCTCCCCCAGTGAGTGCCTCATTGCCCGCCTCCCCCAGTGAGTGCCTCATTGCCCGCCTCCCCCAGTGAGTGCCTCATTGCCCGCCTCCCCCAGTGAGTGCCTCATTGCCCGCCTCCCCCAGTGAGTGCCTCATTGCCCGCCTCCCCCAGTGAGTGCCTCATTGCCCGCCTCCCCCAGTGAGTGCCTCATTGCCCGCCTCCCCCAGTGAGTGCCTCATTGCCCGCCTCCCCCAGTGAGTGCCTCATTGCCCGCCTCCCCCAGTGAGTGCCTCATTGCCCGCCTCCCCCAGTGAGTGCCTCATTGCCCGCCTCCCCCAGTGAGTGCCTCATTGCCCGCCTCCCCCAGTGAGTGCCTCATTGCCCGCCTCCCCCAGTGAGTGCCTCATTGCCCGCCTCCCCCAGTGAGTGCCTCATTGCCCGCCTCCCCCAGTGAGTGCCTCATTGCCCGCCTCCCCCAGTGAGTGCCTCATTGCCCGCCTCCCCCAGTGAGTGCCTCATTGCCCGCCTCCCCCAGTGAGTGCCTCATTGCCCGCCTCCCCCAGTGAGTGCCTCATTGCCCGCCTCCCCCAGTGAGTGCCTCATTGCCCGCCTCCCCCAGTGAGTGCCTCATTGCCCGCCTCCCCCAGTGAGTGCCTCATTGCCCGCCTCCCCCAGTGAGTGCCTCATTGCCCGCCTCCCCCAGTGAGTGCCTCATTGCCCGCCTCCCCCAGTGAGTGCCTCATTGCCCGCCTCCCCCAGTGAGTGCCTCATTGCCCGCCTCCCCCAGTGAGTGCCTCATTGCCCGCCTCCCCCAGTGAGTGCCTCATTGCCCGCCTCCCCCAGTGAGTGCCTCATTGCCCGCCTCCCCCAGTGAGTGCCTCATTGCCCGCCTCCCCCAGTGAGTGCCTCATTGCCCGCCTCCCCCAGTGAGTGCCTCATTGCCCGCCTCCCCCAGTGAGTGCCTCATTGCCCGCCTCCCCCAGTGAGTGCCTCATTGCCCGCCTCCCCCAGTGAGTGCCTCATTGCCCGCCTCCCCCAGTGAGTGCCTCATTGCCCGCCTCCCCCAGTGAGTGCCTCATTGCCCGCCTCCCCCAGTGAGTGCCTCATTGCCCGCCTCCCCCAGTGAGTGCCTCATTGCCCGCCTCCCCCAGTGAGTGCCTCATTGCCCGCCTCCCCCAGTGAGTGCCTCATTGCCCGCCTCCCCCAGTGAGTGCCTCATTGCCCGCCTCCCCCAGTGAGTGCCTCATTGCCCGCCTCCCCCAGTGAGTGCCTCATTGCCCGCCTCCCCCAGTGAGTGCCTCATTGCCCGCCTCCCCCAGTGAGTGCCTCATTGCCCGCCTCCCCCAGTGAGTGCCTCATTGCCCGCCTCCCCCAGTGAGTGCCTCATTGCCCGCCTCCCCCAGTGAGTGCCTCATTGCCCGCCTCCCCCAGTGAGTGCCTCATTGCCCGCCTCCCCCAGTGAGTGCCTCATTGCCCGCCTCCCCCAGTGAGTGCCTCATTGCCCGCCTCCCCCAGTGAGTGCCTCATTGCCCGCCTCCCCCAGTGAGTGCCTCATTGCCCGCCTCCCCCAGTGAGTGCCTCATTGCCCGCCTCCCCCAGTGAGTGCCTCATTGCCCGCCTCCCCCAGTGAGTGCCTCATTGCCCGCCTCCCCCAGTGAGTGCCTCATTGCCCGCCTCCCCCAGTGAGTGCCTCATTGCCCGCCTCCCCCAGTGAGTGCCTCATTGCCCGCCTCCCCCAGTGAGTGCCTCATTGCCCGCCTCCCCCAGTGAGTGCCTCATTGCCCGCCTCCCCCAGTGAGTGCCTCATTGCCCGCCTCCCCCAGTGAGTGCCTCATTGCCCGCCTCCCCCAGTGAGTGCCTCATTGCCCGCCTCCCCCAGTGAGTGCCTCATTGCCCGCCTCCCCCAGTGAGTGCCTCATTGCCCGCCTCCCCCAGTGAGTGCCTCATTGCCCGCCTCCCCCAGTGAGTGCCTCATTGCCCGCCTCCCCCAGTGAGTGCCTCATTGCCCGCCTCCCCCAGTGAGTGCCTCATTGCCCGCCTCCCCCAGTGAGTGCCTCATTGCCCGCCTCCCCCAGTGAGTGCCTCATTGCCCGCCTCCCCCAGTGAGTGCCTCATTGCCCGCCTCCCCCAGTGAGTGCCTCATTGCCCGCCTCCCCCAGTGAGTGCCTCATTGCCCGCCTCCCCCAGTGAGTGCCTCATTGCCCGCCTCCCCCAGTGAGTGCCTCATTGCCCGCCTCCCCCAGTGAGTGCCTCATTGCCCGCCTCCCCCAGTGAGTGCCTCATTGCCCGCCTCCCCCAGTGAGTGCCTCATTGCCCGCCTCCCCCAGTGAGTGCCTCATTGCCCGCCTCCCCCAGTGAGTGCCTCATTGCCCGCCTCCCCCAGTGAGTGCCTCATTGCCCGCCTCCCCCAGTGAGTGCCTCATTGCCCGCCTCCCCCAGTGAGTGCCTCATTGCCCGCCTCCCCCAGTGAGTGCCTCATTGCCCGCCTCCCCCAGTGAGTGCCTCATTGCCCGCCTCCCCCAGTGAGTGCCTCATTGCCCGCCTCCCCCAGTGAGTGCCTCATTGCCCGCCTCCCCCAGTGAGTGCCTCATTGCCCGCCTCCCCCAGTGAGTGCCTCATTGCCCGCCTCCCCCAGTGAGTGCCTCATTGCCCGCCTCCCCCAGTGAGTGCCTCATTGCCCGCCTCCCCCAGTGAGTGCCTCATTGCCCGCCTCCCCCAGTGAGTGCCTCATTGCCCGCCTCCCCCAGTGAGTGCCTCATTGCCCGCCTCCCCCAGTGAGTGCCTCATTGCCCGCCTCCCCCAGTGAGTGCCTCATTGCCCGCCTCCCCCAGTGAGTGCCTCATTGCCCGCCTCCCCCAGTGAGTGCCTCATTGCCCGCCTCCCCCAGTGAGTGCCTCATTGCCCGCCTCCCCCAGTGAGTGCCTCATTGCCCGCCTCCCCCAGTGAGTGCCTCATTGCCCGCCTCCCCCAGTGAGTGCCTCATTGCCCGCCTCCCCCAGTGAGTGCCTCATTGCCCGCCTCCCCCAGTGAGTGCCTCATTGCCCGCCTCCCCCAGTGAGTACCTGGTTGGAGCTCTGCTGTCTTCACAAAAGAGTCCCTTGTTCCATGCCTTTTCCAGTAAGTACCTACCTACTAGGAAAGTTGCTTGCGGTGTGTTTGTTTCCCCATGGCCAATGGCCGCTCTGCTGTTTGCTTCCCCATGGCCAATGGCCGCTCTAGTGCCGGTGTGCCGCTCTGCTGTTTTGACTAAGAAATTCCTCATCGCCCCTCCGTACGTGAAAAATGTTGTTTTCCTTTTCTATTTTACTCTCCTGTAATGTTGAAGAAACGTTAGTTTCTATTTTTCGTTCGCACAACTATCGTCGCTCAAGCCGCTAGTTTGGAATGTGCCCGTCTAGACTTGGATCACTTGTTCCCTCCACACTCGCAATGCAGCCTCCTCGAACGACTAACACTCTGCCAGAGCAACGATTTTGAGAATATTCCTAAGAGCATTAGCGATCAGCTGCCGTGTCTGCGGGAGCTGAGCATCAGCATGTGCTGAATTTGCTCGGAACGGCCAGAGCAGGTCACCTCCTTAACCTGCCGACGCAGCTTGAACCTCTCTAATCGCAAATTCGTCGGACTGCATGACAGCTTCGGAGACATGCTCGACCTGAAAACGCTCATGCTGGACAAGCTCGAGCTCATTAGGTGTCAGGCAGTCCAACGAATTCGCGGTTAGAGAGCTTCAAGCTGCGCAGGCAGGCCAAAGAGGTGACATATTCTAGTCGTTCCAAGAAAGTCCGCACGCTGACGCTCAGCTTCACAGGCACGGCAGCCGATCGCTGATGTTTTCAGGGAGATTCTCAAAGTCGTCGCTCTGGCAGAGTGTTAGTCGTTCGAGGAGGCTGCACTGCGAGTCAGGAGGGAACAAGTAATCCAAGTGTAGACAGGCACATTCCAGATCTAGCGAGTTGAGCGATGATAGTTATGCCAACGAGAAGAGATGCATTTTTTCAACATAACAGGAGAGTCATCCCCTGCTGCGAAAAAAAAGGAGTTTATTATGCTTTCAGCATAAACGTTTTTTTCGTTCGCTAGGTTGTGCAGAAGCCTCTAGTTTCTGCCTCTTTGGTGTGTCAATGATGCCTTACCAGCCCTCGGTGTTATGCCCAATTCATGCACCCCACTGTTCTCACCCCTCTCAAGGCCCACGCTGTGCTTTTTTGTTCGCTGAAAACTCTGTTTGCTTTCGAGTCACTTCACCTGCACTGTCCCCATCATTGCGTGTGCTGTCCCCATTGTCTTTGCCCTCTTTCCCCCTTCCATTCCACCCCCCTAGATACCTTAAGGCACAGTTGGTGGGTAGACTTAGAACCGCGGCCCATGTGCATGGGCGCCCAAGCATGCTGCGAAACTAAGCATGCCACGTGCCGAAGAAAAAGAAAAGGAAAAGAAGTTGAAATAAGTGCAGTAAGAGCATCGCAATGGATGTGTCGGTGTGACATATCTCTCATGCCTTCCAGTCAGAAGAAGGGGCTGCAATAGCTCTGCAGTTTGTGTTTTTATTGTGTCGTCAATGCACTTTGTTTTTTTTACTGTGTACTCCTCCCCCCTCCCTCCCCACCCCCCCCAGCTACCTCACGGTGCAGTTCGTCCGTTTCTTCTGGAAGCGCGAGTCACAGCAGAAGGCCAAGATCCTCCGAGTCAGTACCTTACCGTACCTTACCGTACCTTACCGTACCTTACCGTACCTTACCGTACCTTACCGTACCTTACCGTACCTTACCATGCCTTACCATGCCTTACCATGCCTTACCATGCCTTACCATGCCTTACCATGCCTTACCATGCCTTACCATGCCTTACCATGCCTTACCGTGCCTTACCCTGCCTTACCATGCCTTACTGTGCCTTACCGTGCCTTACCATGCCTTACCGTGCCTTACCATGCCTTACCATGCCTTACCGTGCCTTACCCTGCCTTACCATGCCTTACCATGCCTTACCATGCCTTACCGTGCCTTACCGTGCCTTACCATGCCTTACCATGCCTTACCATGCCTTACCATGCCTTACCGTGCCTTACCATGCCTTACCATGCCTTACCATGCCTTACCCTGCCTTGCCGTGCCGTGCTGTGTCTTGCCGTGCCGTGCTGTGTCTTGCCGTGCCGTGCTGTGTCTTGCCGTGCCGTGCTGTGTCTTGCCGTGCCGTGCTGTGTCTTGCCGTGCCGTGCTGTGTCTTGCCGTGCCGTGCTGTGTCTTGCCGTGCCGTGCTGTGTCTTGCCGTGCCGTGCTGTGTCTTGCCGTGCCGTGCTGTGTCTTGCCGTGCCGTGCTGTGTCTTGCCGTGCCGTGCTGTGTCTTGCCGTGCCGTGCTGTGTCTTGCCGTGCCGTGCTGTGTCTTGCCGTGCCGTGCTGTGTCTTGCCGTGCCGTGCTGTGTCTTGCCGTGCCGTGCTGTGTCTTGCCGTGCCGTGCTGTGTCTTGCCGTGCCGTGCTGTGTCTTGCCGTGCCGTGCTGTGTCTTGCCGTGCCGTGCTGTGTCTTGCCGTGCCGTGCTGTGTCTTGCCGTGCCGTGCTGTGTCTTGCCGTGCCGTGCTGTGTCTTGCCGTGCCGTGCTGTGTCTTGCCGTGCCGTGCTGTGTCTTGCCGTGCCGTGCTGTGTCTTGCCGTGCCGTGCTGTGTCTTGCCGTGCCGTGCTGTGTCTTGCCGTGCCGTGCTGTGTCTTGCCGTGCCGTGCTGTGTCTTGCCGTGCCGTGCTGTGTCTTGCCGTGCCGTGCTGTGTCTTGCCGTGCCGTGCTGTGTCTTGCCGTGCCGTGCTGTGTCTTGCCGTGCCGTGCTGTGTCTTGCCGTGCCGTGCTGTGTCTTGCCGTGCCGTGCTGTGTCTTGCCGTGCCGTGCTGTGTCTTGCCGTGCCGTGCTGTGTCTTGCCGTGCCGTGCTGTGTCTTGCCGTGCCGTGCTGTGTCTTGCCGTGCCGTGCTGTGTCTTGCCGTGCCGTGCTGTGTCTTGCCGTGCCGTGCTGTGTCTTGCCGTGCCGTGCTGTGTCTTGCCATGCCGTGCTGTGTCTTGCCGTGCCGTGCTGTGTCTTGCCGTGCCGTGCTGTGTCTTGCCGTGCCGTGCTGTGTCTTGCCGTGCCGTGCTGTGTCTTGCCGTGCCGTGCTGTGTCTTGCCGTGCCGTGCTGTGTCTTGCCGTGCCGTGCCGTGCCATGCCTTACCATGCCTTACCATGCCTTACCGTGCCTTGCGTTCCTTACCATGCCTTGCTGTTCCTTACCCCCCATGCATGCCTTGCCCCATGTGATGCACGCGTGTGACTTGCATGCCTGACGTCAAAACCAGACGTGACCCCTCTCCCTCTTCTCCTTCCCTTCCCACTCCTCTGGAACAGAGGGGCAACATACCCCCTCGTATCGGATTTCTACGACTTCCTTCTTGCCAAGTTTCAGAACCTGCCGCACCTGCATGAGTCCCCGCACTTCCCCTTGTCCCGTATCTCCACCGCCCCTCTCTCCTTATGACCTCGGAACAGATGGTAACATACTTCCTCGTATCAGACGTCTATGAATCTTGCACACCCAAGATCAGAGCCAAGCTGCACGCACCCCCTTCTCTTCTCCGCCTCCCTGCCTCCTCCCGCCCTCTCTGCCCCTCCTTTCGCTTCTTTCTCTTCCCGTCTCCCTCCTCCCTGTTGTTGCAGAGGGTGCCATATCCCTTCGTGTTGGACGTCTAAGACTGCCACACTGTCACACGGCTCCCTACTCTTCTTCTGAACAGAGGGGCTCCCACTTCTTGCACACCGGAGCTCAGAACCAAGCTTTATGGGGCCTCATTCCTGCACCCTTTCTCTGCCCCCCCTCTCTGTCCCTCCTCCATGCCCCCCTCCCTTCTTTGTTTGTTACAGAGGGTGACGTACCCCCTCGTGTTGGACGTCTATGACTTCTGCACACCTGAGCTCAGAGCCAAGCTGGACGGGCCCAGGAAAGTGAGTGCTCCGTGCCGCGCTGATTTCCGTCCAGAATTCTAAAAAAAACGCGCGTCACATTGTTGTTGCTGCAGATGCCATGTTGTTGATTGGGGGTGAGAATTGCCAATCCAAGGTTTAGATAGAGCGGGTCGGTCGACCCATTTTGCCATCAGGTCAACCCGGGTCGGGTCGGCTTCCCAGGGGTTCTTACTCGGGGTCAGGTCGACTCCACTCCATCCGTACCCGGCTCGGGTCGAGCAAAACGGGTCAGGTCGGAACAGGTCGACCTGTTGCTCTTGTCTGGTATTGTGTCGCTGTTGAATCGTACACGACTAGGCTCTTCATCCGAGCTGGCTTGTTTCTCTCTGGTGGGTTTTTTAAAAAGCAAATAGCTCACCGCAAGACTTGTTTTTTTTACCGAATCGGGTCATCCTATAGATGGATGGAGCACTCCTGTTGTCTTCCCTCCAGTCTCCATCTGAACACCTATCAGTGACACCTCGTCTCCCTTGCATCGTCCACTCAATCCCCTCCGTCACCCTCATTCCACCCTTCCCTCTCTTCCCCCATCTCTTTTTCCCCCTCTTTCCCCCTCCCCCCACTCTTCCCCCTTCCCCCCTCCCCCCAGCGCCTGCGCCTGGCGGATGACATCAAGGCAAGGGGAAGGAGGGGGAGGCGCTTGTTGTGACACCCCGCTCCCCCATGCTGGGGTGCTTGAGATGTCTGCTTGGCGGTTCTAATCACACTCCTCTTTCCCTTTCCCCCACACCCTCCTCCCTCTCCCGCCCCCCGTCCCCCCTCCCCCCAGCGCCTGCGCCTGGCGGATGACATCAAGGCGGGATTGGTTGAGGGCAAGGGGAAGGGCAAGGAGGGGGAGGCAGACGCGGCGGGGAAGGGGGAGGGGACGGGGGAGAAGGAGGAGGAGAAGATGGAGGTGGAAGGGGGCAGTGTGGCTAAGGGGCTGGGAGGGGCAGCGGAGGGGAGTGGGAGTGCGGAGGGGAAGACAGGGGGTGCGGCAGAGGGAGCAGAGACGAAGGGTGGGGCGGGGGAGGCAGGAGAGGGGAAGGAGGAGGGAGGGGGAGGCGCAGCCATGGATGTGGATGGGACTGTGACTGCAGAGGTGAGGAAGAGGGAGGGATGAAGTCTCCATCTGGGCATGTGAGGAGGGAGGGAGGGATGAAGTCTCCATCTGGGCATGTGAGGAGGGAGGGAGGGATGAAGGCTGTAATTGGAAAGGTGAGGGACAACGGAGTGTGACTTGTGGGATTGGGGTAGTGTTACAGAGGGGATTGTGGGATAGGAAGGACGGGAGGGCGATGAAGAAGAGCTGCAAGGTAAGAGAAATGGGGCGAGCAGAGGGGCAAAGAATGACTCAAGGGGTGGCCACTGAAGGAACACACAAGCAAGGAGGTTTTTGTGAGAGGTAGCTTTGCCTCATTTCTTGGTGACTCATCCCATTGTAGATTCGTCCCATCTTTGAATCATCCCACCTTGTACCGCACTGCGCTCTCTCCTCTGACCCACCTTCACCATGCAGGCTTCTGATGCTTCTGCCTCCACCAACGCGGACAGCGAGAGTGGAGAAGGTACGGGTCATGATCACGCACTTCTCTCATGCTTTTGTTGGCATAAGCTGCCAGCCAGCCCAGTCTCCTGTGTGGCCATGGACGAATGGTTCTTCATCCCATCACATGCTATATGAATAAGATAATTTTCTTAAATTAAGAAAAAAAACAGTTTCTTCTATAACATGCTCTGAATATGGCGCCTCCTCCCCACCACCCTGCCCATTCCTCACACCCACGGAGTTGTTCGACTGACAGGGGTGCGGCTTTGGTTTGGGGGAGTTTGTGATCCTCTCAGTTCCATTCATCCATGCTGCTTCCTACCTGCTCCGCTCCTACCCGGTCCACACAGCCACCGGGCTGTTCAGCTGTGCGGTCACACAAGGCCAGCAACCTGCACTGCGGTGCCTATGTGACCCTCCCATCCCACTCACCGCTCTCCTTCCCCCTCCCCCAACCCCGCCCCCCTCCTGCCCCACCCGTCCAGCCACGGGGCTGTTTGACCTGACGGCAGTGCTGACGCACAAGGGCAGGAGCGCGGACTCCGGGCATTATGTGGCATGGGTGAAGCAGGAGAGCGGTATGTGGCATGTACTGTGTGGTACAGTGCAGTACAGATCGGTATGTACGTGGCGTGAATGGGAGAAGCAGGGGAGTGGTATGTGGCATGAACAGTGTGTTTCCAACCTGTCAAAATTTGGCGCATGTTTCGTCCCTCCATCCCATCTCATCCCATCCCATCCCACCCCATCCCATGTTTTATTCTTCCATGGCTCACCTCATCACATACCAATGATCTGCACTGCTTTTGACCTCATCATCCATGCATTGTCTTGTTGAGACACGTTTCAATGCTAAGTCTTTCCTACCCAGTCCCGTCTATGCCTTGTCCCTTTTTTTTTTTGTTAAGTGCTAAGAGATTCCTACACTGTCCTGTCCATGCCCCACCACCCCACATCACCTTGCCGCACTACCCTTGGCTGCACAGTAGGCATGTGAATAAAGTTCAGCCCCAAGCACTCACTCATGCCATGAGGGATTCTTGTAGAATTCTCAGAAATGCTTTGCTTCCGCTCTTGCCTTCCATCTTCCACGTCATTGGCCACCACACTGCATCCCAACCGCCTTCCCCCTCTGTGTGCATTGCAGGCAATTGTGCCCCCTAGCCTTCATGTCTCTCCCACCCTCTCCCCTTATCCCCTCTCTCGTTTCCATTGCTTCGTTTCACACAAGTGGATTGATTTTGATAGCAAACAACCCATCATTCCCCCTACCCTCAAGGTCAACACCCCCTTCCCCTCACCTCTCTCCCTTTTCCCCTTCCTTACCCTTTCCCTTGCAGGCAGGTGCTTAGAGTTTGACAACGAGCAGCCCATCATGCCTCCCACCCTCAGGGTCAACCCCCCTCGCCTCACCCCCTTCCCCAACCCCCCGCCTTCCCCAACCTCCCTTTCCTTTGCAGGCAAGTGGATAGAGTTCGATGACGAGCAGCCCATCATGCGCAACGAGGAGGAGATCGTCAACCTTGCAGGGGGAGGTGAGCTGTGTGTCTGCCACATGCCTTGTTGTCACGCTCAGTAGCTGCCAGTTTCTGTCATGTGGAATCAAACGCACGTGGCGTTAGCAGCTAGTTACATGCTAAGCCGTATCCACATGTGCACCCTTCATCTCATGCCTCTCTCCCTTGCTACAGGTGACTGGCACATGGCCTATATTCTGCTCTACAAGGCGCCCTTTGACTAGTGCTTCTCTCCTCTCGTGCTGAACCCCCATGGCCATGACCCTCACCATCGCATGCCTCTCTCCCTTGCTGCAGGCGACTGGCACATGGCCTACATTCTGCTCTACAAGGCCCGCCTTGGATAGCCCTGCTTCTCCTTTCTTCTCTCGCTGAAGTTTCACGGCCATTACTCCCCCTTTCTGGCTGGCTGGAGCACAGGCGGCAGAGGGTTTACCGTTGGTCACACTGGCATGGATTGTGATCTGATGGTTCATGTTAGAATATTATAATTTTTAAACACGTTGCTGTTTTTCAAAATTGTGTATTGTGAAAGCAAAGCTGCCTGTACCGAATATTTGGCAGCGTCGAAGCGCGCTAAACGCCCTTCTCCAACTACAAAAACCGTGGGTTGGAGTTCATTCCCTCTGTCAAACATATGTTTATATGTTGTAGTTTAGATAGGCTTTAGTGGGGTACTCACTGTGGGGTACAACCCCTTAGGTTTCACTTTTGTACAAACACTCTCGACATTCAATACCACTTTTCCCTAGGATTCTAACTTGGCATCTAGAGCATAGGTCCTTAGGACCTAGGATTAGGGCCCACCGTACCTGCCTGCCTTGTCTAGTGCCCGCGCGCGCCTCGGCTGCCTGCGCGCGCCTCGGACGTTCCTTTTTTTTTTTTTTTTTTTTTTTTTTCCCACGTGCGCCGCTTCAGCAGCCCGCGCAGCCCGTTTCGGCCCCGCCTGTGCGCCCCTTAAGCCGCCCGCGCGCAACCTAGTTAGGCCACACCAGCGCGGCCCGTCGCCCAGCGCAGCCCGCAGCTTAGCGACCAGCCCGCAGCCGCGCACGTGCGGCCCGTCGCCCAGCGCAGCCCGCAGCCGCACGCCACTTACAGCCGCGCATGCTGCCTGCCGCCACGCGCAGCCCGCAGCTGCAAGCAGCCCGCAGCCCGCGCAGCCCGTCGTCGCACGCAGCCTGCGGCCGCACGCGCTGCCCGTAGCCACGCGCAGCCTGCTGCTTGCTACCTGCTGCCGCCTGCCTGCTGCCTGCCTGCTGCCTACCTACCTGCCTGCTGCCTGCTGCCGCCTGCCTGCCGCCTGCCTGCTGCCTGCCTGCTGCCTGCTGCCTGCCTACCTGCCTGCTGCCTGCTGCCTGCCTGCTGCCTGCCTACCTGCCTGCTGCCTGCTGCCTACCTACCTGCCTGCTGCCTGCTGCCGCCTGCCTGCCGCCTGCCTGCTGCCTGCCTGCTGCCTGCTGCCTGCCTACCTGCCTGCTGCCTGCTGCCTGCCTGCTGCCTGCCTACCTGCCTGCTGCCTGCTGCCTACCTACCTGCCTGCTGCCTGCTGCCGCCTGCCTGCTGCTTACTGCCTGCTGCCGCCTGCCTGCTGCCTGCCTGCTGCCTGCCTGCCTGCTTGCTGCCTGCTGCCGCCTGCCTGCCGCCTGCCTGCTACCTGCCTGCTGCCTGCTGCCTGCTGCCGCCTGCCTGCTGCTTGCTGCCCCTGCCTACTGCCTCTGCTGCCTGCCTCCTACCTGGCGCCTTCTGCCTCCTGTCTGCTGCCTGCTACCTCTGCCTGCTGCCTGCTGCCTGCTGCCTCCTGCCGTAAGCCAATATGGCGACGCCTAACGTTCTAGCGTTCGAGCCTGACGGTCGTCCCATCGAGTTCGCTGTGTGGTTAGACGATCTCCAACTGTTCCTTCTGACTGATGCCAAAGAGGGTGTTTCCCTGTTTGATTACATCTCTGGCACTGCCGTTACTCCTGCTGCTGATGCTCCCGCTCTAGAACGTTCCCAGTGGCAGACTCGTGATGCTGCTGCACGCCTAGCTATTAGGAACCACCTGCCGATTACTGAGCGAGCGCATTTCAGCCAGCACAGAACTGCTAAGACACTGTACGACGCTGTAGTTGCGCGCTACTCCTCCCCGGCCACTGCAGCCATAGGTCGACTCATGCTACCATACCTGTTCCCCGATCTTTCCTCGTTCACCACTGCTGAGGACCTAGTTTCTCACCTGCGCGCTACTGACTCTCGCTTTCGTGCCGCCCTTTCAGCCGAGTTCTGCGCCGCAAACCCCCCCCCGATGTACTTCACTCTCTATTTCCTCGTCACCCGCCTCCCTGACACTCTTAGCTCTGTCAGGGACCACTTCCTAGCGCTAGACCCCACCACTCTCACTGTCGACGACTTCGAGAAGCACCTCCTCGCAGCAGAGAAGAACATCCTCGCTGTAGGTGCTGCTCGTGGCACTCCTCGCTCTCCCCTCTTTGAGGGGTGCTCCCCCTCCCCTCTCACCCCCTCCTACGCCTCCGCAGCTGCTGCTCACGACTACCTTGGAGCTGAGGAGGTCGGAGCTGCTTCCGCTCCTAGTGGGAAGCGTCGCAGCGGCAGGGGCAGCAGGGGTGGCAGGGGCGGTGGGGGTGGCGGTGGAGGTGGCGGTGGTGCAGGCGGCGGGGGAGGTGGAGGTGGTGGGGGTGGTCGTGGGGGTGGAGGCGGTGGAGGTGGTGGTGGGGGCGGCGGAGGCACTGGGAGCGGTGGAGGGGGCAGCAGCGGCAGTGGGGGAGGAGGGAGCGGTGGTGGCAGTGGTGGTCAGGGCCAGCAGCAGCCGCAGCAGCAGCAGCAGTAGCAGCATCAGCGCCAGCGCCAGACCCCCACTTCCCAGCAGCTTCTTGACTGGTATGCCGGGCGTGGGGCTTCTGGGGGTCCTGGTCGCTGCCCCTATATCATCCGCACAGGTCCCCGCGCTGGTCGCCAGTGCACAGGTTTTCACACTGAGCAGCGCTGCTTCGCTCGACTTAGCGACGCCTGGCGCGCCAAGTTTCCTGATGCTCCTGAGTTCCCCAACTGGGCAGACTTGCTTAGGCGTGATGTACCTATCTTTGATCTTGACTATGACGCAATTCTTGCTGCTATGTATGCATTGTCTGTTAGTGCTGAGGGTGACTGCTACTTGTGTGTGCCGCCAGATCCTGGTATAACCCCTGGTATAGCCCCTGCAGCACTAGGTGCTTGTGAGTCTGCTCCCCCTGGTCCTGCGCCTGCACATGCCTTGCACACCTTAACGCTTGACTCTGGTGCTTCCCGCTGTTTCTTTCGCGACAGTACCACAGTCACTCCCCTCCCTGCACCTGTTCCAGTCTCACTGGCTGACCCCTCTGGGGGCCCAGTGCTTGCAAGGTCTTCCACTGTGCTTCCGTGTCTGGCGGTCCCGTCTGGTGAGCTGTCTGGTCTCCACCTCCCCTCGTTCTCTACGAACTTGGTGAGTACCGCTGTCCTCCAGGATGCGGGGGTTGACACCTTCACCCCTGGCCGACAGCGTGTGGCGATTTGCACATGCTCCCAGACTGGTCGCCACCTGGCCACGTTCGCTCGTGCGCCAGGGTCGAGTCTGTACACCCTCACCACTGCGTCGCGCTCCGCCCCTTTGTCTCCCCAGTTGCACGCGTCTGCTCAAGTAGCTACACAGTGTGAGTGTCGCCGGCTGTCGCACGACACTCTCCTGTGGCACCACCGCCTCGGTCACCCCTCCCTGCCTCGCCTGCGCAGCATGCACTCCCGCTCCCTGGTTTCTGGTCTTCCCAGGTCTCTGCCTCCCTCCCTCCCTCGCCTGCGCCGCCCTGCATTCCTTGCGTCGAGGGGCGGCAGCGCGCCGCTCCTCACTCCTCCTCGTTCCCTCCCACAGAGGCTCCACTGCAGACTCTCCACCTGGACGTGTGGGGCCCAGCCCGCGTCCGTGGACAGGGCCACGAGCGTTACTTCCTGCTGGTTGTCGACGACTATACGCGTTACACCACGGTCTTCCCCTTGCAGCGCAAGGGGGATGTCCCTGATGTTTTGATCCCCTGGATCCGCGCTACTCGTCTCCAGCTCCGCGAGCGGTTCCAGTCGGACTTTCCTGTCCTGCGTCTGCACTCTGACAGAGGTGGTGAGTTCTCCTCAGACCTCTTGGCAGCCTTCTGTGCGGAGCACGGCATCCGCCATACTTTCACGCTTCCGGCCTCTCCGCAGTAGAATGGGGTTGCTGAGCGTCGCATTGGCTTAGTCATGGAGGTCGCTCGTACCTCCATGATCCATGCGGCTGCCCCCCATTTTCTGTGGCCGTTTGCGGTCCGGTACGCCGCGCATCAGCTCAACCTTTGGCCCCGTGTCTCCTTGCCGGAGACCTCGCCCACACTGCTGTGGACGGGGAAGGTCGGCGACGCGTCGCGTTTCCGGGTCTGGGGTGCTCGTGCCTTTGTCCGCGATACCACCACGGACAAGCTCTCCCCTCGCGCCATTCCCCGTGTCTTCCTTGGCTTTGTCCCTGACGCTCCTGGCTGGCAGTTTTACGACCCCGCCTCGCGCCGTGTCTTTGCATCTCAGGACGTCACCTTTGACGAGTCGGTCCCCTTTTACCGCCTCTTCCCCTACCGCACTGCTCCTCGCCCCCCCCCGCCGCTCTTTCTCGCCCCAGGTCCTCCCCAGGTAGACCCCCTCCCCGCGCCAGGTCCTGCTCCTTCAGGTGTCTCTCAGGTAGACCCCCCCGCGCCTGCGCCTGTTGAGGTCACTGGTGACTCTGGTCCTGCTGGGAGTGGTGCTGTCCCTGGGGGTGCGGAGCTTTGGGGTGCTGAGTCTGGGGGCGCTGAGCGTGTGGAGCCTGGAGGTGCTGCGTCTGGGGGTGCTGCGTCTGGAGGTGCTGCGTCTGGAGGTGCTGCGTCTGGGGGTGCTGAGCCTGCATGTGCGGAGCCTGGAGGTGCTGAGTCTGGGGGTGAGACACCTGAGGGTTCTGAGACTGCTGTTACGCGGTCTCCTTGGAGTAGCCGTCTTCGTCCGCGTGTGCCCCTCACCTCCCAGCAGCTGCACGACTGGTACGGTCGCCGTCAGCGTCGCACTTCTGCACCTCAGGACTCTACTGCTGGGGGTTCTTCTACTGGTGTCCCTGGTCCCGGAGGTGCTCGTACTGGGGGTTCTGGAGCTGCTGGGGCTGGCGGTGTTGCTGCTGGAGGTACTGGAGCTGCTGGCGGTGCTGGACCTGCTGAGGGTG